ACGGGCAAGAAGGAACAAGAAGAGAAGGGGGAAAGAGGGAAAGTTGGACATTATGCTGCAAGAGGCCTTAAATGGTGGAACAGACTCATTTATCATATGACGCTTTGAAAATGCACAAACTCATCTGCTCCATAGCAGTTGGAAACTTTAAGCCAAACTGTTTTTGTCCTCATTTCTTTCACATCTGTTAGCCCTACAGTACAGCCCTGCTCATTTGTTAGCTCTGACTTCTGGCTGCAAACTTGTTTTTCAGTGTGACTCTCTACAAGGAGGAAAATTGGGGGGGTGAAATGCCCATCACAATTCCTCACAGCAAGGTCATGTTTTTAAATTGCTTGTTTTGTGTGGCCAAGAGTCCAAAACCCAAGTTTTAGTTTACAGAGGTTTGTACAGCAGAGAAAGTTGGGGAATTATCACATTTGTTTATCCTCCTCATATTTATTTTTGCTTTTGCTTGAAAATTGAGAGTGAACAATTATCAAAATAGTTGTTTAAAATGAGCCTTTTTCTAATTTCACTAAAATCACTTGTGAATAAATGGAAAAAATTACCTTTGTTACAAACTTTTTTTATACTGGATTTTTTTTCTCTACAGGTCATTTTTTATTTCAGTGCATTGGTACTGTAATAATCTGGTGGTGGTCCTGTGGTCTTGTATATCATTTACCTTTTACAAAACAAATTAACTACCTGTAAATGATCTGTTAAAGACATTCCATTCTGATAGTTCCCTCTCCTACTTTCTGTAGCTGAATGATGGAAAAGCAAAAGGTGCAAGAGGATATTTAGTTAAGTGTTAAAAGCTTCAGGCCCTAAAGAAAAGATGCTAGTCTGTACTTAAAACTTTTCAAGTACCCAAGTGGTATCTGTAAGACTGTGTGTGTGTGTGTATGTGTGAGTGAGAGAGAGATGAGAGCATGGCTGCAGGCTGACAGAGGTCCTGGTATAATACAGTGTTGGAGAGCAGCGACTGATAACTATACTTATGGCCACTGGGGCTCATAGTGACAGCACATGCACTCCCATTACTGGTCCCATGCCTCATGCCCTATCTCTGGCAGCTTGCCACTGAGGGACCACACTGCCCTCTGGTGTTGATTTAGGGAAAGTCCAGGCTCATTGAGAATTCAGCCAGGTGCTCATAGCAATGACTCAGGGGAGAAACCTGACTGGGTTTTGACTGGGCTCCACTTCTGTGAGTTTTAGCAGTGATAAAGCATCTTCCTATACACTCCTAGGACCCAGAGTTTCAGCCTTCTTGAAAGGAAGTGTGTGGCCTTTTGTTTTCAAAAACTTCTATAACCAACAGGTTTTCTCAGCTCTAGAAAGGTGTTGGACATACTAATAGAAACGGGGACTAACTTTCCTGTCTCTCTTCTTGTGTCCAGTGCTGAGTATACGTGGTGTGCAGGAGGAGGACCCCCCTGATCCCCAGATCATGCGGTTGGACAACATGCTGCTGGCAGAAGGTGTGTCTGGACCAGAGAAGGGCGGAGGTTCGGCTGCAGCCAGCAGCAGGGGGCTCACCCACTGACAGCAGCATCGAACACTCTGACTACAGAGCCAAGCTCGCCCAGATCCGCCAGATATATCATTCTGAGCTGGAGAAGTATGAGCAGGTTTGTACTGAGCAGACCTACTGCTTGAATATATACTGTTATTAAATTGTGAAATTAATTCAGACAACCTCATCCCTCTGTACCTGGGTTCATCAGTCTGGTAACAATCATCTTGTGCTAAGAAATACATATTTGTACTGTTAGAATGTGACCCTAAGGATGATATTTCACCTGGGCAACACTATACCACTGATTACTCCTGTTTCCATGTCTTGAGGCATTTTAACTACTATTATCAGCTAGTGTGGGTGTGGTGTTGTTTGGAATAAAATCTTGCACAGGGATTGTCAATCACATGAGAGTATGTAGGTATCTTTCAAACAAACTAGAACAGATGACTTCAACCTAAACCAGTCAGTAAGTAATCTGTGAAATCATCTACAACAGTTAGAATGAAAATCTCTCCTGTATACTCTTAAGTCCCTCACAGTCGATGGGTGGATAAAGATTGTGGCCTCATTATAAAGTATAAAAATTACTTTTGACTGATACATTTTGTTACACATATGTTCATAATTGGTATGAACAGACATGATCTGTCTAAGAGCACATGGAAAAATATTGTCCCGTATCAAGCCAGTGTCACTGGCCTTTGTTATTTAGCTCTGCACACTCTTGGTTCTTAATGGCTCCAGCTGCCCTTTCCTGGTATTTCTGTGATATAGGTTTAAGAACCACTGCTGTGGGCTGTGTTTTATGGTTCAAATGCCACTAGTAACTCACAGACCACAAATAGTACTTAAAGGCAGAGGAGTCGAGCAGCCAAAGCCTGCATGTCATCACCCCATGTCATGGCACTGGACACAATGTGTGCTTGGGCTGTCTTTTTACAATAGCATTCAACTCCTTCCCCTCTCCCTGGTCCAGGCCTGCAGTGAGTTCACCAACCATGTAATGAATCTGCTGAGAGAGCAGTCCCGCACACGGCCCATATCTCCCAAGGAGATTGAGCGTATGGTGGCCATCATCCATCGCAAGTTCAGCTCCATTCAGATGCAGCTCAAACAGAGTACCTGCGAGGCCGTCATGATTCTGCGTTCGCGCTTCTTGGACGCCAGGTCTGTCTGTGTGTGTGTCTAGCTGGTATTTTCACTGTGTGTGTGTGCGTGCGTTAGATGACTGGTTATTTTCTTGAAGGCTGTAGTGATACGAGCATGTTGACATACATTCCAAACATTATCTCATCCCTCTGTGTCAGACGGAAGAGGCGTAACTTCAACAAGCAAGCCACAGAGGTGCTGAATGAGTATTTCTACTCCCACCTGTCTAACCCTTACCCTAGTGAGGAAGCCAAGGAGGAACTGGCCAAGAAGTGTGGGATCACTGTATCTCAGGTGATTTGCTAACACTGCTATTATTCAGGACAGTAAAAGAACACTGTTTCTTTGGAAACTGGTATTGTTTTGGTTATTAAATCCTGTATCACCTGTCTGTTTCCAGACCACTTTCAGCACATATTTTGTAGCATGCTTTAGAGACTTGCATTTGTTTTTTATTTGTTTTTGCTGTTATAAATAAGAAAAATTTGAACTTGAACATCTGAGCACCGTGGATAGATGTTAGAGGTTACAGCAGCCAAATGTGTGCAAAAGAAACACTGCATTCAGATATTTGACATCCATTTCTCCCTCAGGTTTCTAATTGGTTTGGCAACAAGAGAATACGCTACAAGAAGAACATTGGTAAGTTTCAGGAGGAAGCGAACCTCTACGCAGTTAAAACAGCGGTGGATGCTGCCAATGTGTCAGCGCAGGCTAGCCAGGCAAACTCTCCGGCAACACCCAACTCAGGTACCACATGCTCCATCTCATCTACCAGCAAACTCTGCCACTTCTCATTAACAGACTACAGTTCCTCAACATAACTTAGGTTCTTAAACACAACTGAACCTGAGTGAACCACACAGTGAACACTGGCTGACTAGATTGTTCACAGGAAAGCCCACACTGCACAAGAAATGTGCTCTCAACCAGCTGCCTCAGCAGATCATGTGGAATGATTCTGTTTATTTTGCTTGAAATCGGTGATAAAATGTCTGGAAACAGGCAAGGATTAGGAGGAAAAACGGCAATCAGCAAAACGTTTACTTGTTGTGCAATATGATCCAGTGGAAAACTGGGGAGCATAGTTTATCAGCTAGTCAGTTTTACAGGCTAGCTTTGGTGCCTAACAACTATAAATAGCACTTGTTGCTTCTCATGATTTAAATCATTATGTTGACAGACTTGCAGTGCCTAGTCCATGTTTTCTTGAATTGGATCTGTGACCCTCGGCAATATGAGAAACTGTTGCTGACGATGGACCTGATGAAACAGCTGTGTGTACTGAAGGAGCTGCATCAATTGTCAGGCTCACACAGCCCTGGCTTAGACATCCCATGAACTTTATTATATGGCTGTGAACATAATCCTCCTTTCCAAAATGAGCAACGTACACAATCAGGTTTTTCAATACAGATGCAGCAGTGAAATCCTGCTCCTTTACCTGCACAGATACAGCCAGGCATGAAAGCTAACGCTGTTCCTCATCTTGTTGGGGAAACTACAATCAGTGGATGGAGTTTGTGCAATGTGTACATAACAGCAATTCACCAAATGGTGAAATGCACAGTCAAACTAGTGACCAAGACCAACACAGAACTTTACATTTTGGAGAAAATTTGTGTTAAGAGAATTGTTCAAAATTCCTACTTTATGCTCTGAATTTCTGCCATAATGTAAAATCTGAAACTGCACATTTGCATTTCAATTATCATGTCCGAGAAACATTAAGTACACATTGTGTAAAAATAAAAATCTGCAGTCGCATTTTAAGAGTAATGCCCAGCAAACCTCCATTATTATTTCTTGTTGGTGCAGTGTGGGCAGCCTTGGTCTTTGTTTGTCTTTGTCATAAGAGTATCGCATGCTTTTTAACATTCCAAATTTTCTAAACTCTTTAAAATATGTTGGAGCTGTTGTGACACTCATGGACATCAGTTAGAGGGACTTATTGTCAACTTCAAGTACTTTGTCTCAGTCTTTCATATTTTCTTTCTAAAATTTATCCCATTATTTATTTGCTTGTTTAATTGGTTTTGTTGTATGTCTTAACTAGATTTTTGCATCTTGTAAATGAGCTTGACAGCAGTGTAACTCATTTGATTGATAGGTGATTGACAAATAATAATTTGGTGCCAAAGGAGGGACATCTGTATATGTGATTGAATGGCGGATTGAGCAGGTTTACTGAGCAAAGTTCTGTTGTGTAACATGTTTAGTTTTATCATGCATGCATTGTAGGCTACATAGTGTATATTCTCTGAACCTTTAGGTGAGACACTCAGAATCCGGTAGCAAGCTACTGGTAGCTTGTGAGCAATGTTTGCAGACCCCTGTTGTCCATTAACTACACAAGGTATTACAGTCGGTATAGGCAGGCTGATGTGGAGAATGGAATCAAATGCAGTTAAAGTGGTTCCCAGGCTAATGCTCTGCACAGCGGTTTGAGGTATAGTGTAGCATTTAAACCTCTTCTAAGAGAAACACCTCATGTCCTTTACCACTGCAAGACTCCTGCTCCACCTGTCCTTACTGGATAGGCTACAGCCCACGATGATGGACAAATGCCACCACTTCCAGGGAACTGGGAATGTGTTGGTCACATGTAGTTCTCCTGACCTTTATCCAAATCCCACTCTAAAATCCACATCAAAGGGCCAAGCCACAAAAACAGTCAATTAAAAAGTGATCTCCATATTGAATCTGGTTATGAGAATTTAGTACCACTAGTCAGTGTCCATGAGCAGTGTTGACCTTTTAACCCTCTGGCACTGTGGTGGGGCTGATTGGAGATTGGCTATATACTGTATACATTGCCTGCAGGGTCACCGGGGTCATACAGTTTGTCTCACACAGGCGACGCCTACCTAGGCCTATCTTCACTCAACGAGGAGGGTCTCAACATCGCCCCCTCTCTACAGCCCCAGGTATGCACTGAGGACAGCTACAGAGTTGGCCTCAATGCTGTTAACCCAGCCACCCAGATTCCTTGGATGTCTACTCTTACTCTAGCTCCTTTTGACCTTGACCTCTCCTCAGAACCCATCCTGACTTTACCTTTGACCCCATGGACTCCTCACCCAACACAAACTGACCCTTGTTTGCACTGTCCATTTTCCACGAGGAGCTTATTTCTTCACTTGAGACAAACTGTTAGTTTATTAAAAGCAGTTGTGGAAGAAGTACTCAATTACCGCCTGATGTGAATTTTTCACCACAGATCAGTGAGGTCTTATGTATTTTTGTATTAATCTGGTTCTGAAAAGTAACTAAAGTTATAAAATTAATGTGGAGTAAAAAATACAATATTTACCTTTAAAATGCAGTGAAGTATGAAGTAACAGAAAATGAAAATACTCAAAGCATAGATAGCACAAAATTGTACTTAAGTACAGTACTTGAGTAAATGTACTTGGTTACTTTCCACCACTGGTTAAAAGCTATTTAAAATTGCATTATTGCATGTCTCTCTATAGTTATATGAACACATAGTCCATACCTTTATGTATTTCTTGAGCCAGGACATGGGCAGTGTCGGTGCAGAACCCCAGGACCAGTTTAGAGGCATCAGGGCCTTCCCCAGTACTCTTGTACTCTTGTAGCTGTTGCACAGCCTGGGAATATTCCCATAAATCAGGGCTGGGGACTGAATCAGGAACCCTGTGGTTAATGGTCAGTTTCTCTACCTGTAGGTTGTCCTGCACTTCCAACCCTTAAAACAGCTTTGTGTGTTTGTAGTCCTTACTTTCCCTGCCCCTCCACCCCATATCTCCAGGTCATCAAGACCAGTTCCAAGAAGAATGTTCCTCAAAAGCGAACTGTTGTTGGGATAGTTGTCTGTTAATAGATATGTTCAGTTTTGTTGTCTGGAGGGGGATCCACAGATTTCTGCTGTTACACTGGAAACAAATGGGGGACTATGCTAGTAAGAAAGCAGTCAGTAGTAGTAAAGAGCAGCAGAGGTTTGAGGATGTGATCCTCCTTTGTTAAACCTGTGGTTGTTTAGTTAAGAAAAAAAAAAACCTGCTAGTGTAAAGATTTGTGTAGCTGTCTGAATGTTATGCTGACGTTTGTGTTGAAATTTGTCGGTGTATTTTGTCTCTGACAGGTGGATACCCTGCACCGTGCTACACACCTGACGGGCGGCTATGAGGAGCTGTCAGGTAGTGGCCTCTACGCCCCTCATCGCCTGGATGTGAGTACCAACTTAAAACCTCTGTTGTGGTCTGACCAGTGATTAAGTTAGGAAACGTACCTAGTAGGTGTTAATATTGTATGCAGCCTATTCATAAACTATGGCAAAATGAGAATTCTAGCCCAGATAAGTCTTCAGGTAAAATAACTGGTAAAGAATTCAAAACTTGTAACCCAAATCTGAGTGGATCAGAGCTGGACTCTGGGCAGTTCAACACACACAAAAAAAAAACAAAAACAAAACAGGATTGGGATCAGTTTCCTTAAATCCAACTACTAGTGTTTTATAATTGATGTTAGTCAAATTTTATATTATAATGTCCCCAGCCAAGAGTAAACAAGGAGAGCAGTCAGTTATCTAAAGAAAGCACAAAATAAACTTTGATTCTTCATAATGTATTGCTTATAATTTTATTTACTTTTTACATGCATTTCACATGTCCCCCCTCTGAGTCTGTGCCCAGCCTGGCCACCCCCGTCCTAAATGTTTCACACCTGCCTACATACTCCTGTAGGTTACTGTTATATGTTCTAAACGAACAAACTACACGCTAAGTCTGTGTCCGGTCCAAGTGAGCTGGAGTGAGCCGTGTGACAATACCCTCCCTCTTCCTTGTCATTTTGCAGGCTAACAGCTGGCAGCACACCACCAACCCCCCCTCGGTCACCTCCCCTCCTGGTCCTCCTGGCCCTCCTGGCAGCATTCACTCCGACACTTCCAACTGATCCGGTGGCTGTCCACGCCCTCACTTCACTCCCGTCACGGTCTGCTCAGATTATCATCCTCTTTCTCTATTTTTCAGTCGCCCCTTTCTCTCTAGATAGCCATGCAAGGCTGCATTTTCATTTCATAAACACACTGTGCTGGAACACAGGGCAGTTGAACAGTAGTTGGGGGGAATCTCCCACCACTCCACAGCTCCATGTCAGTGCTTGAAGCTCTGTTAACACCGAATGAAAGAGGGATGGAGCTTACTGATGCTGAGACAGACAGAAAACATCTTTACTGTCGAGGATGTTTTGAAAACCACTGACCCAGCTGTGTAGATGATCATGATGTCTGTACATTATGTGTATATGCACGTTAACTTCACACAGTACTCTCGCAGCTTGTCCATGTGCTGTTGACCTCCGCGCCCGACCCTTTGCTTTGGAAAACTGTGTGTGATTGCCTGTATCTCTTTAAGCCTTGGCACCGGACAGCCAGACTGTTGATACGGATCACCAGGGAGCTCTGCTCACCGTGCTCATACCAAAGTGCTGCCCCAGTAGTTGTCAACACAGCTGTTCCTCCGATATCATCCTCCGCCAACTCAACACAAGACGTTCTTGTATCTTCCGGTCTTTACAGCTTGATGTTTCATTTTGCTGGAGATTTCAAAGTGAATAGTTGAGATATGCACAAAGGTGCAAGCCCTTTTTGCAACACACTCCTCAGCTTCTTAGTGGCTTTCACAGTAAGCTGACCTAAAAGATGTGTCAAGCACAAAAGTTAGCATCCTTGTTATGGGTGTCTCTACCTGTAAAAGGGTCGTTACGGGGATCGCTGTTCTAAACCAGGCAGGACAGGTGACAACAGGGCGGGTGAGAAGATGAAAAGGGCAGAGAGAGAGGAGATCTTTGGCTGAGTGGATGTAACTAATAGCCCTTTTTGTTGCTAACCATTAGAGGGTGTTGGTAGACGGCTTGTAGATTTTGCTTCTTGCTTTCTGTCCACTAGTTTATTTGATTATAGGCTATTTTCTAATGCTGTTTCACCAAGAATGCACCAGCCACCACCAAAAATGAGCTCAATAAAAGCATCTAAATGACATTAGGAGAAGGATGGAAAGACAGTGGGGCACTGATGTGTTATTGTGACAAACTGACATGGATTTAGAAATGTCTGTCTTCCATGCATGTGGGACTTGTAGGCGTGATATTGTTTTCATTTGACCTTCCACATTTTTAGCTTCATTTTTATTAACAAAATAAATAAAGGGTATAATTATTACAGTCAGACCAAAAAGGAGAAAGTGCATCATGTATTGCTACGATGTGTGTGTGTCTCTGTGTGGGCGTGTGTACAGTGTTCCTGGGGTGTCTCAGTTGAAATGGCTGGTGCCCATTATATAGACTGGGTGCTTCCAACAGCCAGTGACGCACCAGGTGAGACTCTGCTGAGATCTCCTTCCCATCCTGAAACATCTGCCCCGAGGCAACACACTACAACCTTCTGTTGTACCAAAACCAAAAATACCACATTCAGCGATGTAGTAATGCTACTCTGTGTGTCTACAACTGGTGCACAGCCACCTTTTCAGTTCAAGGAGAGGAGGGAATTTACATTTGTACACGTGTCTCTGTGTGGTATTGTCATGCCTCAAGTTTGATTTTTGGGGGTGGGGGGTTTTGTTGTGGGACTTAATGGAGTGAGGACTATCATCACACCTGTAATTTGATTGTGAGCCTAGAAGGCATGTTCTCCCCGTTACCCATCCTTTAACACCAACTGATAAAACCACAACTCTTGGTTTTTTGTTTGTTTTAGTTTTCTGGCTGATTGGGCAAGGGCTTCTCTCTCTCCTCTGTTACCAAAAAAAAAGAGGCAGCACTGGGTGTAGTTAAACTCTTAACTCGTGTTTAAGACAAACCTGCGGCGTTTTGGGGATATTCATTCTTTGGAACTATTTTATACATTAACTGTTATGTGAATAACAAAGCATTTTGATAGTGAGGTAAAGCCTTATTAAGATTTAAGTGTCAGTCGAGACTTTGTTGAACCATGTTACAGAACAAAACTTGAGCTTGTAAGCTAGTCACATGTGATATCCCACATTTAATAAGTTGTTTTGTTACTCATCGCAGTTCATACGACTGTATCTTATGAATAATGTTACCACTGCACCAAATTATCATGACCCTCCCCCTTTTTCTACCTGTTGTAATGGATGTCACTGTACAGTTTGTGTAATGTTTCAGTATTTTTTCTTCTTTTATAAACTTTGATGTTTGGTTGATATGCCACTTTATTTGTCCTTTGTGTCACAGGATTCACAATAACTATCAATTTTGAATATTATTTAGGTCTTTTGTTACATAACCAGGTGGCAACGTAGGGTTTACAGGAGTAACATTTAGAGCTGTGGAAATACAACTGAGGTTCTGCAGTGGACATTATTTTCTGTTGATTTATGGATCCTCTGCAGTTTGTACCTGTTGTAAAGTCACTGGCCCAAATATTCACCCACTTCTGTTCTTAATTCTAAATCATCCTTGAAATGTGCTAAGATTTATCTATACAATTAGATCATTCCTGTTTTTTTCTTTACATTTTTATAGTTACATAGACCGATAAATTCAAGGAATTGGACGTTCAGATGCATCAGTCTGTGCCGATGCTGAAAACAAAGTATTGAAGTGGGTTATTTTTAATGTAAAAATATTGGGACTATGTTTTTTAGGATTTTCTTCAAACTAACACAAAAACCAATTTATCTACTGTCAGATATGTATAAATTCTGCGAGTGACTCTATGACTTCCACAGCACCAAATGGCTACTTGAACCCTT